TCCCCACACAACGATATGAGAATGACCTTATATGACATTTAGAAGTGATAAAATTTCGCTTACATATCACGCGTGTACTTCCCGCTGCGATATAAAAACGTCGCACAACAAGAAAATGATTCCATAAACCTTGGCGTTGCGCGCTAACCAATAACAAAAGCTAGTATGATAAGGTCTTATTTTGAAGGTCATTTTATATGCTACATAACATAGGAGAGTGGACATCTCACAACGTCAGGAAGTTATAAAAATATCGAGTCGTTTGATCGCAGCTGCCTCACCGAAAAAAAGTTAGGCGTTTTATCTCGCAAATTCTCCTTGTCTGACGATTATAAGCTTTTATGATTCATAATAAATGTTTTTATTATGACTCACAAAAGCTTTCAACGCGATAAAGCACAAACAAACAACCGATCGATCTATCAAGCTTAGCCTGGCCTGATTCGATGTGGTGACTTCTCAAACGTAAAATTTCCAAAACGCTTGAACAAATCGCGCTATTGAAAAGCGTTTAGTACCATATGAAAGAGAAAACCAATGTGCAGTCAACTGTATAGTTACATTTCAGCTTTACAATAGCTGTAGACGTCCAACAGCTGATAGAATGAGAGAGTGTAAATATTTTTGTTATTTTTTGACGTTACGAGAGACCTCTTGAAAGAGGTGTTTTAGTTTACGGTCCTCCAGTGACATCTAGCGTATAGTACTCTAAAATACCTTTCCAATGGTATATAATTATTGTATATTGGGTAAATTTTGGGGGTCGTATGACATTAATAAAAATGTATTCAAAATTGGGCTCGATTGGGCGTCTGAATCAGGTTAAGAAATATTTCTTGAGAAAAAATATTTATTTAGTCAATGCTCATGTCTAGGTATGTTTTAAAATGTAAAAGAAAGAAAAAATAGAAAACCTTTCTAATTTTGACTCCAGTTTTGGTTCAGTCACATTAGCATTAGCCCATTAATCCATGCATCAGTGATTTGTGCAAATTAAGTTTGCATGCTTTTGTACGTCATATGGCACACCCAAATTCAGTGCATTTGCAAATGACTGTTATCAGAATAGGGTGCCGTGCTGGCCTAGCAGTTAAAGCATTAGCCTCTGCCACGCCCCCAACCTCACCAGAGTGTAATAAATTGGGCCGACAATGTTAAACCGGAAAGACTGTGGCAGTCCCAAATAACAGTAGTTTTATACATATTGTGAGATATAAGTGGGTGTTTAAACATGGCTTTGTGCTTTTTCGATAGTTACATGTTATTAGTTATTATTGATTATTGGATACTGATAAAATGGGCGGCCAAAAGTGGGTTATTAGTTATAAATTAATTATTTATGAATAATAATTGTTACACTTCTTCTAGTACATGGTTCTTTTTAGTTACGATATGTATATTAAATATATAACAATATAAAGCAAATGTTTTTACTAAATTAATACTCAGTTTTAATTCTAATGGATTTAAAATCTGTCAACATAAATGTGTTGACTAATACAAAAGTTAAAAATCTATTTGTCAGAACCTGTTTTATGGCTCACTCTGAAATCCAGACACACAATAAACAGGCAAATTTTAATGGTAACACTCAGTAGTATTATAAGTTCCATTATCCACTGTTTGCATTTCTAGTGAAGTTAGGTTCCAAGGTTTTGAACATTGATAAGCAGTTTCACAAACATGTTTGATTCCATAGTCAAAATTCGAAAAAGCTGCTTTCGAGTATTCTGCCAATTTTGGCACTCAGTGGACTTTTCAGTGGTCTGAAGGATTGCTGTATTTCAAACACTTGTATGCGTACCATTACAAAATTCAAGGAAACAAGCATGGGTGTCATTAATGTAACAGATTTAGTTGTTACAAATCCATACTTACATGGCCGCACACTAGAAGTGAGTTGTTTACTTTCAAATGTCTAAATATAATTACAATTACTGACTGTGCCATATCATGAGCATGGAACAGAAATGCAATAGAATATAATCAGTATGATTGTTCAATAAAGAATGCCAGTATTACATACCTAGGGGAACATAATTGAAACATGCGAATTTTAAAAAAAAAATTTTTTATACAGCATATGAAAGAAACTTGATAATAATTTAAATCAGAAAGTTACCCAGGTAACCTAAGAGCCTAAGAATCAAATCAAAATTTTGTGTGGAATTGGTAAGCAGATAAATAGTAGCAAAAGATAAGATATATTTGCCAATTCGTTACCTTAGTATTTTGAGTGGAAAATTCTTGTAAGAGATTTGGTAGGGATGGGAACATCCAAATATTGTGAAGTTCAAGTGATAAATGAAATGCTCACATTTTTAGGTGAGTTTCATTCATTAATATAACTGTTTTTAAGGTCGGTTAATATACTTTAGAAAAGTCATGCAAATATCAGCCCAGATGTGGCAGCAGTACTCCATGCATGGGCATATCAAGTAAAGTTTGCAATTATTTGTCTTTTAATCTTCTGAAGAAAACCAAATAAAGTGTATTTGCAAATTGCTGTTACGCATACTGAATTGACTGACTCATTAGATGATCAGAACATTGCTAATAACTGGGATTTATTACCTGTAAAGAAACTATATTTTGGATTGGAGCGAAAATAATGAATGATCAACTTTCCAAATGTTAATATATGTCCAGGATGTTGTGTACTTCAATATTAAGAAAAGTTATGCTCATACATATTTACGGTAAATACTTCGATAGCCGAGCAGTTTTATGCAGATATTTCACTTATATAGTTTCAGTTTTTATTCTACAAGAGGTGAAATCTGCTAACATAATGATATTAAGGAATACAAAGGCAGTAAATCACTATGACTGTTAGTGTTTTATGGCATGTCTTTGAGCAAATATTGTGGAATCCTTTGTTGCAGAATAAACACGCAAATTTTTATGGTAGTGCTTGGTAATATTATAGGTTTTATTACCCACTGTTTGTATTTTGTATGACGTCAGTTGGTCAAAATAGCTACGCTCTCAAATGTTTGAGTATTTTTCTAGTCAAAGAAGAGCTGAATAGTGACTACTTGGGAAATAACAAGCCCTGAATACTAAATATGTAGATAATAATATACGACAGATATCCCACCTCAGCGGGTCAAATCAGCCACACCCTCAAATTAGCAAATGATTCTGCGTTTAGATGTTTTGATTTAATTGAAAGTATTCTAAATCGAAGAGCATTTTACTCTGACACAGCCCCTCATATTTTGGGTTCTTTTGTTACGATTTTAATTTTTTTTGATTGATTTGATTTTTTTTTTGATAAAACGTCAAATAGCCATTGGATAAAGTTTCATAATATTTATAAATCATACTTCATAAAAGATGTTACTGGTTGATTTACACTTTCCTATGATCTAATTTTCTGTTGTCAGTTTTATTTTTAAACTGAAATTGTTTTAAAATGCAAACTTCATTATAATATATTCTACCATTGTGTGTTTTTATTATAATATTGGCAAATTTATTTCATTGTATCAATACATGTTTATGCTTTTTGATATCTTAGCATATTATATTGTAGTTATACAGAGATTTTATATCACGTATGTATGTGATGTCGCTCTCGAAGTATCAGGATTTAATTTTGAGCTCTGTCCTATTGTTGACAAATATTCCATTGAAAGATATCAAGAAACAGTATTTCTGCCTTCAAGCAGCCTTGTACAAGTAGTTTTATTATTCTAATAGCCAAGTATTGCATAATTGATATCAGGTATAAAAGAATAGTTAGTAATGAAAGAGGAACTAAATAAAAGTTCAAGCGTAACTCTGTCAGAATTTTACTTATACAGGTTATAGGATGCTCTGTTGATGTGATAATTCTTTTTCTAAATAAGTCATCATTTTCATGCAATTTCTAACTCTTGATATTAAAAATGTATGATAAATTGAAAATACTCTTGTTTGGTGTAGAGAAGTTTTGTTTGAAATAAATGATAGAACCTGTTGTAGTGTAAGTGTGTTCTTTAATGGAATTATAAATTGCAATTTTTATTTAATTTATAAAGTCATCATTATTAGGATCACAGGTTGAATATTGTGTAACAAGTGTAAGTGTCTCCAATAGTATAGGGTTGCCATAAGCCATATTTTTCCCTGGCATGTCCGGGAATTTTAGTGGTCAAATTTGCGACAGGGAAAAATGTTAAAAAGTGCCTAATTGTCAGGGATTTTCGAATACAATGAATCCCTGCTACAAATCCTCGAGTTTTCAGATATTGCGCATCCATGAAATCCTATTTTTTCAGAGATATGTCACATTCTAGCATTTTTGTGCAACACGGATAGCGTCGCATTCATGATGTCACATATGACCTGAATTGTCAGCATTTTGTAATCTGTATTTTGGTTGCACCACCTTTACTTGTATTTATTCCGTGCTAGAGTTTAGTCCAGCCTTTCTCGAACTGTGTGCTGCAAGAGACTTTCAAGTGTGCCGCCACCCTTTTTGGAATTTTAGAAAATAAGCTGTTCCATTACACATAGGCATGCTTGCAACGGGCAAGCTTGGGAGAGTTGAGTAACCATAATTAATTAGACTGATATTATTATTGCATTTGCCCTGTCGTGGTATTGAGGGCGATTGTTTCGGCATAATTGTATTGTGATGTCATGACGTTTTTGTAAACAAGACGTCCACCTTCCACCATGTTGCTAATAAAACATCAATCGAAATCCTATCAAAATAAATTGAAGTTTTTATATTCATTTTGAGCACTGCAATATTTATCGATTTTATATATCTACCTGAGCATTTTCAGTTTGCAAACAATCATGTATTGCTCTGTGGTTTGCAAGCTAGTTTCAATTGATAATAGTGCAGAATATTTTATTTACTTGATATATATAAATTATCATATAAATTATATCTAGGGCAGGGTCAGACCCAAATATGGATAAAGGAAACTTACTGTTAAATAAAACTATATAGCTATGTGTTGAGGTTAAGGGAGGCTAACTCCTTTCTTTCCTTGGGCGCATATTGGAAGGATGTTGTAAATATACACAAATGTATTTTTGTAACGTTTTGTCTAACCAAAGGTATTCGTTTTTGAAATAAACTAGGACACTAGAAGCAGAAATAATAAAGTACAATAATTGTTGGATTCATTGTTGCTTACATAAATTTGTAAAGCTATATATCGATATCCCTTCCCATTTTTGTCAAAAAATGAAGTCATTACTATGATGAATACTGTTCAATTACTTATCATAACTGTTCATTACTTATTACTTAAATTATCATATTTTGTTTTAGACTAAATAGCACAGTCTGATAAGGCTGATACTCAAAACATATCATCTAATATTTTGTTCCCATAATTGGTAAAATGGCTGAATCTGGTAAAATACGAGAAATCGATTCTGCCGATTCCTCAGATGAATCTGTAGAATTTTCAGATGCAAACGATCAAATTCCAGTACGAAATGCATTACAAGTATCGAGGCCTTCGATGCCTGGGACGGTACAAGAATTTGGTAAAAATATTCTTCAAAGTCTCGTGAAACATTCAGAAAAACATGGAACTGTGGTAGCTCCAACCTTCGTTTTCAATCAAAATATTAAGGAAGGTGAGAATAAGGTCTGCCGTTTTGTTCACTGTTATCCTAAAGATTAATTAATTATTTGATTTAATTTATGTCTATAGCTGCGTTTCCCAACCTTTTTTGGTCGCGGACTAATTTCTCATCAGCGAAAACCTTTGCGGACTCAAGGTGCGTTTATTGCAACCGTACTCTGTGTGAATCAAAATCGAAAATTCGACGCAATTACGAGTCCGTTAAAAGAGACGACTTTTTATTTTATAATGGCCTTTCTGTCGCACTATATTCAATCCATGACAACGACGAGAATTTAAATGTCTGTCTTGAAATGTCTTCTGTTTTAATTGTGTTAATGGTATCTCGCGGTTGCGTCGACTTATGACAAGATGATAGCATTACTTCTTCAAAATACCACAGCAATCTGCTAACATATCGCACGATTATATTTAGTTTTGATACATATTTTTAGAGATGGCAGATTTGTTATCGTCGTTAGAAAAATCCTATCTGCTATAAATTTCCAGAAAGTACAACTTGATTTAGTACTTATTAAAAATATTTTTTAAAGTATATTAGTAAATCAAAAATACATATTCACCGCCTTGCTTTAATATTAGTTTAATGGTGATCATTTTAATCTGCGGTTGTGTTGACGAAATAAACGCAATACTATTCAGAAAATATCATGACAATTCGTGGACACAAAAATGCGTTGTAAAGTGCCCAATTATATTTTGTTTTGATTCGTATTTTTGTGAATTCAACAAATCTGAGCTGTTTGTACAACACTTACGGCGCTACAGTACTGTACGTACCAATGTGGAGGCCTTAGGGAAAATGCCCTGGTACATACACGGTGTCACCCGAAATTTTGCGATTTGCATTTTCTAAAGAAGCGTTTTTGATCGGTCGCGTACAATCATAAAACAAAAGTTATGGTGTTCTCCGTTTTATTTTAAGTATTTTGTATTGCTGCTTTTCATTTTAGAAAATTTGAGTTGCCCCCATTGACACCTACTAGAAAAAATTTATACCTTGTTGTTCGCACTCGCGAGAAACACCACGCATGTGGTCGTGTATTCGTCGGAAATGCGCTAGTGAGTTGTGAAATCCAATCGTTTTGACCAGTCGCGTCACCTGGTATCAAATTTCCGAATAGTGAATTGCTATTCTAATAGTTGAATATTCGAATATATGCCCAGCCATACTCAGTAACATAGTAATAATGGACTTGATTAATGTTATGTGAATGAACTTTTTTTTTTATGTTTTATGTGAATTTTAACCTGAATCGTAACTTGGCTGATGGTTAACTTTCGCAAAAACGTTCGCGGCCAGCAGTGAATTTCTGATTCGTTGCGGACTCATTTGAGACCGCGGACTCGGGTCGGGAAACACTGGTCTATAGACCACAAATAAAAGCATATTTCAAAATATTTGTTTTGGTCAATATTACATAGATCACATTTTACCTAATTTGGGGTGAATAAATACAAGTACAAATAAATTTTTCTGCAATTCAATAACCATTTTATATATCCTTCATTTGATATTTTATGCGAAATAGTGAAATTTTGTTAATTTTATTTGTCATATTTTTTGGCTCGTACGAAGTTACTTCCAGCCATGCCTGAAATAACAACAGCCAAGAAAATGCCCCTTTTGTAACAATGGAGCTTAATTGAAAAACTAAAAATAGGTAAATAAAAAAAACATTAAAAATTAAGAAAGAACTGTAGTATTTAATTTGTCTAATACTCATAGAGGAATATTTGTACAATAATAGCATGTTTCAACCAAACTTTTTTTACAGTAAATAATAAATAAATACCAATCTGACTATTGTGCTTTATCTCAACAGGGGACAATATAGAAACCAGTATTGCTGGAAGTTCTGGTTTTACGCTTGATCGAAGCAGCAATACATATGAAAAAACCTCAACAACCAAGCAAAAGGCAGCAAAGTCTAATGATGCAGTAGAAAATGAAACAAAAGGAGAAATACCATTCCATTTTGAAGGTAAGTTTACACGATTTGGGTGGATTCTACCTTTCCCAGGAAACTTTTGGGCTGATGTAGACACAAACTTTGCATGTATGTGTTTATATCAAGGGTGGGCATGGTTTTTGGATCAGGAGCCAAAAAATTTTGCCCACCTAGACTGGCGGGCCATGTAGTATGACGTAATGAGTCTCATTTTATAAACAATGTTTACAGTGTTAGAGAAGCAACAGTGGAAAATAATAAACCTTGTGCCAAGACTAAATTTGATGTGCACGTTCGAAAGAATATATTTCTACAGACAGCTGTATGTAAAATGCATTACACTGAGATTAAATTTTTGTACTCGCTCGTCAGATTATTATTTGGACAATGTACCACTCGGCAACGGAGTTGCAAATTGATTATAACATTTTGGCCATAACACAGACACAGCATCATCCTTCATATTGATGATAAGTAAATAAAACCAATGCATTGTTAGATAATTTATTAAAAAAACGTCATACATGTCCCGTTGTGGCAGGCTTTTTTTTAACACAGCAATAGAGTGTGCAATTGCACCATGATATGAAGTTTCATGTGGCGATTGTTCTTAGGCGAAAATAATGTGGCATTCGCGCTACAGGAAATGTGTGTATTTAGTATTTAGCCCCCAGTGGCTTAGATGTACAAAAATACTAGATTTGTAGATTTGTACTCGATGTGTTTCACACACAATTCAAATTATCTATCAAAGACATAATATTTTATGTTTTACAGATTCAATTCGCGTCGATCATAACCTGTTGCTGCTTTATAATGAAAGACTAGCAAAGTATGGTGAAGTTTACAGAGGCTTGCAGACTCATAAAGGTTCTCGAGGATTCGATACAATCGCCATAAAATCTATCAAACTCAGCGATGAAAATAGGAAAGAAGTGGAAATCATCCGAAAGCTTCGCTCCCACCCAAATGTGATAACTGTCCTCCAATCTGGGACTTATTTCTTTGGTCCAATAGAACATTTATTCATCGCAATGGAATACTTTAAATCTAAAACCTTGACAGACTTTGTCAAAGACGATCCAAAGCCTAAGACTGACGAAGTCAAACATAAACAAATAGAACAATTTGTTGAAGCTGTCGATCATATCCACATTAACGAAGTTCTACATCGAGATCTCAAACCAGATAATATCTTGGTATCGGACAATGGTAGAATTCTCAAAATAATTGACTTTGGTTTGGGAAAACAATTAAGAAAAGGACATTTTTTAACCAAAATGAGCACTTTACGTGTTGGCACTGATGGTTGGAGGGCTCCGGAAATATACCTTTCTGACATTTGTTCTAAACAATCGGACATATTTTCTTCCGCACTCGTAATCCATTTCATATCGACCGATGGTTCCCACCCATTCGGTAATGACCCAGATTCATGGAATCTCAATATCAAACGATATCAAGGATGTGACCTGAGCAAACTAGAAGGGGATCTAGAGGATTTGGTTGGTTGGATGCTCAGATTCCGACCACAGGATCGTCCAAATACCGAACAAATTCGGAAGCATAAATACTTTCGTGGCCAACTTGTTTGTCCTTACCCCAAGTTAAGTACGTAACATGTCACTGCGTTAGTTCCAACTTGAATAAAATTTTAAAAATTATATCAGAAAGTTGTAGAAGATTAATTTTGTTACACTGTAACCAAAGTTTATCATCGTACATTCATTCTCATGAATTATTCAAACCGAAACCTAAATTATATCCAGAATATATTAGTGTTTGTGAATCCTCTAGTTTGTTTGACATATCAATTTCAGTTATTTTTAGACTGACATTTATTACTAATTATCATGTGTAAATGAATGATATCAATACTTTCAGGTCTCACAGTACCAAAAACTTACAAAACGGAAATTGTGAAAGTCTGGCGAGAGTCTGAAAAAATGAAAACACAGCTTGAAGAAAAAATGAAGCAGATGGAACATGAAAATGAACAAGAAAAAAGAAATATGACGATTGTTTTGGGTATCTTTTTATTTTTTTGTTGATTTTGCCATCAAAAGCACCACATCACCAGAAATTGCAATTTGTTCATGTACACAGCTTTACTTTTTCTGATAAAATATGTGACCAAAGCGCAGGTCATATTATAAGTTTGCCACATAAAAATAAATGTTTACATTGCTAGGCCTCCAATTTTTTTTCTAATTTTTAAAACTCGCAGTTTGTTTAAACTTGTCTCAACATTGAGGGTCTTATAATTACAGGAAAAGAAATTCGAAACGTCAGAAAAGAGTCAGAAAGATTGCGAAGAAAGCATGAAAAAGAAATGAAGCGGGTGCAAGCAGAAAAGTTGAAAATGGAAATTGAGATTAAAAAGCTTAAAACTGAAAAGAAAGGTTTGCTAGATTTCTAGATTGTTATTGGTAATTGCGGGCTGTATGCAGAAGAGACTGCTAATTGGCTCAGTGATGTGGCTGAGCATTTGGAATACGCTCACAATCGCACCTCTGATTACCATGCGTGGGTCAACAGGATTGAATTCCATGTGAGTTAATTATGTATGAGAGGACTGTTGGATTGCTGTCGTAAGGTAGTTTATGTAACCGCTGTTTGGGTGTGACATCCTCCACCATCAAGTACATGCATCTGAAAATAAATACCTGGCTATCTAATCCCATACTCCACAAGGACTGATAATTAATCCGACGAGCGGCCATGGTTCGAAATTTTAATCGATTTTTCTTATTACTCTATCACAGGCATTTCCTGTGAGTTTATGAATACTAAACAGTATCTATGCTATAAAGGGTTAGTTGCAGAATCTTAGTGGTGTTCAAGTAAAAAACCAAGACTCGAAATCAAATGCATTTTCAGGTTCCACATTTAATTAATGGCTAATGCACCCAAGCACAAAAAAGTTTCCATTAACATATTAACAAGCCAAATACATTCGTCGATAACAGTAATTTGATAATAATTTGGCTAACTGACGCCCCTGATAGAGGCATATGTTATTGAATAAATAAATGAATAAATACATATTTTAAGCTGCCCATGTCAGTGTTGTTTTTTTACATTATAATCTCAGAAATTTTAAACAATCATTTTTTAATATGTTTCAAACAAGGGCATATACTTGCAGCCACTGATATCTATTGATATGTTATTTTCAAGAACCAGATTTTTCCCTGTAAGGCAGTGGTCACTAAAGTGTGGGTCTCGACCCCAAGTTGGGTCGCCTTGAATATTTCGGGGGTCGCCAACCCAATTTATTACACACTAGGCATGAGTGGGGTATTAGGTTTGAACCTCAGATGTGTAATCTGTAATATATATCGTAACTTTCATTCTTTAAATAAATATTTTTTACATCACCTTTTGAATATCATTAAGTCTCTTTAATCAGCCATTTCTCATGGTTCACTCATGGTTTTATTAATCCAGGTGCAGAATCTCAGTGTTCAAGGCAAACTACTTTTGGTCTAAGAATCATCAACCAACAACCATCTGTTGGCAGGATGTTATGGGATTTGTTGCGAGAATCACTGCCAGGATATGAAGGACAGGAGACTCTTGCCATCACCTACTCATTTCCTGCTGGAAGTCTGAAGGTGAGTTATGAAACATATTTAATTGTTGGTTGGAAAATAAATTATAGATTTACTGGAATCAAAATTCTTAATCAATTTTTTATTCCTATTATCAATCTCCATTCCACTCCAACATATTTTAACATAAATCAATGGAAATATCTTTCTTGAATAAAATACCAGTGCAATGAATGAAGAATCACAATTTGCTTAAAGTAATATTCTGGAATGGCCACAACCTAAAAGTTGGATATCCTATAATTCTTTGGTGCAATTATTGTAATTATGGATTTCTTGAATCGATTCATTGAGTGGTTACAAACAGGTGCGCAGCCAGGATTTTCAAAAGGGGGGGGGGATTGGGTCAAATTGGGAAATTCCCAGTGTTGTCTTTAACAGTCACCACGATGACGCGCCCGTTAATAGAGCCGCCTTATATATTGAATTCATTGTGTCCAACGAAACTCGCGGTTGCGACTTCTTACGTCAAAATAAAAATATTCCTACAGTAAAATACAACAGCGATTTTTGGACGTAAAAATATGAGATAAGCTGCCTGATGTATTTAATTTTAATACGTATTTTTGTAATCTTGCGAACTCGTTATCGCTGTTATTAAAATCTCGATATCTGATATAAAATCCCGTTCAGTACAATTTTATTTCATACAATCAATATACATATAAAGTATACCAGTAAATCAAAAATACAAATTCAACGCCCCGAAATCCACGCCGAACAGTCGCCGTGATTACGCCACTTGTTAAAAGAGCCGACTTTTTCACCAAAAAATGATTTTTCTCTTGTGCAAAGTAGTCAATTCATGACTGGTAGGGGCATATTTAAAATGTCTTGCTTTATTAATTTAATTCCGTTTTTTTGCGAATTCGACAAATTTGAGATGTACCTGTAACACTGACCCCGCTCAATCGCAATGCTGCGACACCGATTATTTTTAAAGATAAAACGTTCCGAAAAATCTGTAAATTTGCTGTAAAATCTCACAAAGTTTTATTTCAGCACAATAAAAATTGTTTAAATGTACTTTAGATTATTTATCTTATATAACATCACAAACCGGGGAAAAGACGCGTTTCCAACCTTGTATAATGTTAACACATACATTTTCGACGACAATTTCGAAGTAATCGATAAAAACGTAAATTCCACCCACAATTGACCGTGCTGCAATTTTAGTGACGATGTGTTTCTAAACCACGACTAAGCACAAAATTTTGCGATTTTCAATGCCTAGAAAAGCGTTTTTAGACTGTTGCGGGACTCGACGAAACTTATATTGTTTACCGTTTTATTTTCAGTATTTTATATTGCCGCTTTTCAATCAAAAAATCCAGATCACGGAGTTACTCCTTAATTTGTCTTAGAATCTCGCCGTCGATGAACGTATAATAACTCTCACCGAATTCACAATTCCGTGTAAAAATAAAGTACAAAAATAAAATATTTATCATCGTTACCGTGGCCCAAATTTGTGATTTAGAGGGAATAAACACCAATGTAAAGGCGTTTACGGCCTAAATAACACGCCACGCCGATGAAAACAATCCGCCATTTCAGCAGAAGGCATTGGTACGCGTTATCGGCGATTTTTTCAGTTTTCAAATAAATTCAAAAGGGGGGGACACCAAAAACCCCTGACTGTGCCACTGGTTACAAATATATATCTTATTTCGAAATTGAGAAGTAAAATCATTAGAATGTCAAAATTGACCTGATAGAACATGTGAACAAAACTTTCGATGGAAAATAAACTGTTTTCAGTCATATTTTTTGGTTTCATAAATTCTTCAAATATGGCTATTTTGATTAAATAACAAAGACATCCCTAGTAATAGTACTGTCTATCACTTTTTCATGCTGTCCTTATTCATGCTTTCTGTTCTGAACAAGGTCCTATACAAGCAGCCATTGACATCTCATGACATTTAAAGAGATATTATTATTTCAAACGATTAGGATTTTTTGGTTCCACATTTCCTATCCACCTCATTTCACCCTGGGTGAGTTGGTTGCCATGGAGATTTGAACCGAGATGTTCAATATGTGATGTCAGCATAGTTCAGTCCAACACGTTGACCGTTAGGCCATTGCACAGCCAAAAAGCTTGAAAGCAGTATTGCTAAATGCTTGCATTCGCTCACATGAGTTATTGCTTCTCACAGAAATATAGAGAATCAGGCAGTATTTTGTATAATGCTAATATGGATTGAGTCTTGTTCATGCTTTGTTAATGGGTAATAATTAATAATAAATGAGTAATAATTAATTTAAACTGGATATGCTGATGGAATTCAGTTCTAATTGAAATCGAAGCTTTGAATGGTTTGTCATTGTAAAAAAAATATCATAACACAGTTAAATATATAGATCGTGCTTGTTGAAACCTGGGTAATATTGAACTGTTATTTGTTTAATTACAGATGTTCATAGAATTTAGTTCATTTATCGTGCAGTAAAATCATGACATAGCTGATAAGTAGACCTCCTCCTAAGTCCTGTTTTCAATATATATCTGAGTTATCAAGTTGAAGTAATTTATTGAAAATGGAAATATCAAGTATGTTGATGGTAATTTTTTTGACTTTTGCTGAATCTTCATAGATATTCTCATATTTATATCAGTTTCAACAAATCCCCAGGAAGATAATTGGAAGATAATTAGTTATGGAAGATAATTAGTTAATGTTTTGTTATTTCAGGGAGTTTCATATGAAGCTCAAGAATTCACTGAATATTTGCCAGATACTAATAATGGATTTATGTGTCACAACTTACTCGAACAAGCATTCTATACAGGATTGATTTTCAAGATTCAGGAAGTTGGTGACAGAAGAGGAAAAATTGTGTGGAACGATAAGTTTCCTCATAAGACTAATAAAACTGGGAGATCAGAGATGTAAGTACTTTGTGTGTTTTATGCTTGATGGGTATTTATGGCACTTTACAAAATGGTGGCAGGTACGAAAGAATAAAATTAATTTTAAAATTTTGTTATCCCTGCATATTGCAACTACAACACAATTTAAAGTTCAGATTTTGGTTGCCAAGTCGTAATTTGTGGGAACTAAACATAAAATGGGATTCGCCTTGGTACATTTAGTTGTCGATAATGACATTGGTATTTAATTTTCGAGATTTTCTAAGCCTAAAGGGCATGAAAAAGTTTCTAAAAATTGTTTCGAATATTTCAATTTTTGAGAACTTTGATTAGAAGAAAACTAAACACATCAATATATGGAATTGATTTGGACAATGTTTATAATCTACCAGGGTCTGATCTAAAGATCCCAGACATAACCACTCAACCATTATGACCACGACTCTTATCTATTAAATATATTAGATCAGGGTGGTCCAAACCCAGGGCAGCTTCATTCTCTGTGGCCCTTGTCGCATTCGGAGAGTAATCAAAAAATCGCATTTGATGTTGTTTCGTCATAAAATTACCCCGGAAATTTTTTGTGACAATTGTTACTTCATTAATGTCACTAAATTGACCAATGTTATGGTTAGCTGATGCAACTAGCAAAGTGGAATGATGTGCTTAGCAGTCTCAAGTTATTGATTGCAAATATATGCTAACAATTTTTGCATCATAGAAAACTAAAAGTCAAATGCGGATTCTATTAGTCAAGGTTGGCTATGCCTGATAGCTAATTATTAATGTTATGGCCTAACAATATAATTTATGCTGGGTGTTTTTTGCAACCAGCCCAAACAGTATTACAAAAATTCTGCCAATATGTCAAAAAGTTTAGTAATTACCGTCCTATGCATCAAATTTGGTAATCAATCAATCTGCGATTATTTGTAAGTTATTTTGTGAACATGAGTTTGAAAGGAGGCTGATGAATTCAAACAGATTTTTAACTGGATGTGGGAGGGAAAATACCACATGCTTGCTCGATATGTCTGTGACAAAAGAATATAATTTAAAACAGAATTTTAGAATCTTATCGATGAGCATTCTCAAAGGTTAAGATTTTTCTTCCAAAATCTTAGCAATGTTCGGAAAGCATTCACATTTGCGGAAACATTGTTTCCTTATGAAGAGTTTGAAATCTTACACCAAATGTAGATAAAGAATTACTTTTGCAGGTTTTAGTAAGTTTTTAGGTGGTTTTTACATCCTTTAGCTTGATAAATGACAAATACTGATTATTGTGTTTGCAAAAAAGTGTTCGTTTTGTATCGCAATGTTTACCAATTCTTGGCACTATTGTCTCCTGTAAACGGGGCTGTCCAAGCGAACCAAATATTCGAAATCGAATCGCAAATTATTTGAACAGATTTCTTAAATTGCCTTTTTTTCAGCAATGGATATCCAGATTCAGACCATACAAGAAAACTGATAGAAGCATTGAAGGCAAAAGGATTTAAGTTTGATGATTCAATACCAGTGAGATAATTTTATTAATTTTACACTCTGGCAAAATATCGCTGTACCCACTTTCCCCAACATGCATCCATATACGAGTAAATTGTCTTGAATTCCTGAAATAACAAGATAATCATTATTTGAAACTGAATTGTGTAATGAACTTGCATTGGTATCAGAAGTAGGCAAAGGGTTGCATGTTTAGGCTACATGACGTTTTTTCAAATTCCAATTATTTACTATTTGATTCAAATGTTTAATTTGGAACGCCCGGCCCAAAGAACATCAAAAAGTACTATAGAAGTCATAGATAGTATCACATGGTTTTAAAAGCTTCCAAAATGCAAATCCAAATCTTTAATGAGACATTCTGTGTGCTGTGCAGTTTTTATTGACAATTTAAGTCCAAGGCCACTTTTCTACCTCCATCCATTTTTTGATTTCAAGTAGTTTCTTTGCCATTTCACTATTACAGTGGTGACAAAACAACTATGTGTATGATATGTTGATTTGAACAATATAGAAATAAAAGTTTTTTATTCTACGCTTTTACCTCTGTACAAGACTTTGTACAAAAATCCACTGATTTGTAAATGACTAATATATATCAGACATATTGGGATTTTACCAGTGACAAGAAAATTTTTTTAGTTTGGAAAAAGCGGAGCTTGGATAGATATAAGAAATATAATGAAATCATACCTTGTTTGAATAAACTGCCCTATCATAGTGCACAGATTGACAAATTCTAGTTTTATCCCATTCCTTCTTGTATTAATTATTTTGCCTTTCTCAGCTAAAGTCATGGAGAGTAAGAAGATCAAATGCATGAGTGGAAGACAATTAACATTTCCTGCAACACTGATTGTACTGCATAGGATACTGAACTTCATTGAAACTACATCAAAGACCAAAACAATAATTCCATTGCAGCCATTGTGTAAATCATATTCTTGATCAAATATCACAAATAATGAACCGATGAAAATATTAAAATTATGAGACAATTTAATATTCAGAATCGTACTTGTGCCATTCCTGTATGGGCATATCATTAAATAAGTAAAATGGCCTAGGCTGTCAAAGCATAATACTTAACTGCTGGCATCGCAGATTACACGTCTCAGGTGCTCCCAGGGTGTGTAAGATTGGGTAGGCAATGCCAAGCCGTAAAGAATTTAATCCTTTCAAATAAATAGTAGCTCCCTCCATACATATTGTTAGATATCAGTGGCTTCTAAAATTAATATTTTGGAGGCCTTTTCGATAATTTTTGTGGCTTTCATTGCCCTGAACAAGCATACAATGATGAATATGGAACTTCTATATTGCCCGAAAGGACTTGAAATATTCTTGTTTAAAACGCTCAGGGTGAGGTGGTGATTGAACTTGGGTGGGGGATATGACCTGGGTTCTTTAATCAGACATGTCAACGCAGCCAAGTCCAAACACTAGGCTAATAGGATGTTTGCATTGCCAATATTTTAGATTTGTTAAAACTCTATTTTCCCATTAAGTTTTTATAAAATTGAATATGTTGAATTAACTGGCATTTTTGTGTCAGTCTCGATACTTTTAGTGGCAGATAATTCCCGAATGCCCATTGATTCATACCTGAATACTTTTTTCCGTAGGTCCAAATAGCGACTGTAATAATGGCGACCGCATTAAAACAGCGAGTGACAAACCCTAACCCTAACGACCTTACATTTAATGTGACACAACATAGTGTTACCTCCCAACCAGGAAATTCGACTCAGTGAACACAAGTTAGTCGCTGTTTTAATGCGGTCGCCATTATGACAGTCGATCACTTGATTACGTCGCTATTAGGGGTGGGCAAAATCGAATATTTTTTTCGAATCGAATATTCTTAACGAATACCGAATAGTAAAAATAATATTAACATGATCTCTTTCAACGAAATAGTAAGTATATTTGTGAGCTTTCGTTAGATCATGGTCTAACTTCTTCAAACAATACAAGGTATAACTGTAAATATAAAGATCACAAGAATTTAATTTATTTTAAAAGTTTTCTATAGCTGATTTAGATGCTATGGTAATTTAATTCATATCATCTCCGAACTGTCGGTCTAACTGATGTGGTTTCCTTTGTTTGCTTTTGAACCATGTTTGTTTGTGTTGTTGCTGTTTTTTTGATAGTACTGTTTGTGAGTTCTGAGTGTTTCTTGTCTAGAGCAGGGGTGTGCAAACTGCGGCCCGCGGAGAAATAACAATTTCGAATGGTGTACCCGCAAAACGAGTATTTATTCTTTTTCGTCACAAAGCCCATACCAGTCGTTAGCAAAACGAGCTAGCAAAATACACGATTTATATTACAAAAACGTGTTTCTCACTGCATTCGTTTAAAGTCGGTGTAACAAAAAATTTAAATAGCAGTTTCTTCAGAAGTTTATGCGTTTTAAATCTACTATTTCTGCAAGAACCCCTAATAATGCCGTAAGATTAATAGCAAATATAGGCAATTTTTGTGCTTGCAACTAACTACCAGAAAGCCTAAATTAAATAAAGGTGCGGCCCGCGGCTTCATCCAGTTACTTGTATTTGGCCCGCCAATAAAAAAGGTTGCACACCCATGGTCTAGAGCATAGGTTCTCAAAGTGCTCCGTACGGAGCCCCAGGGCACCGCAGGAGAAACCTAGGGGCTCCGCGGGATATTCGATCAAAATACGGACTTGGTTATTCTGTAACTGTTAATGAGCAAAAACACCAATAATAAAATTTGACGACAGTAGAGTCGAAATATGGCAACGAGGTGGTAATTTAAATTTGACAGAATCTAGAAGCAGAAGCGCAGTCAGGATTTTTTTATGAGAGGGGAGAGGGTTCAAAATTGAAATTGGAAATTCCCGGGCAACATTATTCGCGAGTAGGCCACTCGTTTAAAATAAACTTTTTCAGTGGATAAGTCAGAAGTAAGATCGGACCCAAAAATTCCAGCAACCAGGCCCGTGGGTATCAAGCCCGACTGGATTTGCAGGCCGGAGACCGAAGCAAACCCGAAATTTTCATATCTTATTTAGGAGTTCTTTGAATTGTCATTGCAAGAGTTTAGTACAGTATGTGTCGTGTTTATAAGGCAACTTCTGTTTTTTTGCAGACCGTGGCCAAAACGCCTCATTTAAAAAAAAAAGTCAACGATAGAGAAGCCCGACCCGTAGGTAATGATTGACATTTCAGGCCCGACCTAAAATAACTTAAAATAAGTGCTAAACTGCCAACTATAATTAGATTGGAATCGTGTTTTTGCTATCTTGGGATTCATCAAATTTGAGTTGTTCTCACATCTCAATGAATACAATTCACAATTGCGGAATCCTTGACCGATGCGCGCATGTTCAAATGCCTTGTTTATTGGTTCACTGTGTTCAATTCAACCTGCGGATGAGTTGACTTACGACAATATAAAATCATTATCACCCACAATTACCACGCCAATCCGCGGACCTCAAAGGAGAAACAATAAAGTCAAGTAAACGAAAAAAGGAAGCATGGAAATTTATTTTGTTTTCAGTAACAAATTAATTGATATAATCTTTATAATTATCTTGTATATCGTCAGATATCGAAAAAAGTCGCATTTTGCTCCGTCGGTAGTTTCAGAATGGATAAAAAAGGTACATCTAGGCGATCGAGCGCACAATTATTGTATTGATTTCAGTAACTACGGTACAACACCCATTGATAACCTAACATAACACCAAAGTTTGTGATTCACAATGTCTAAAAAAGCGTTTTTAATCTGTCGCGAGTCCGCTAAACAAAAATTATCATGTTTTCTTCTGTTTTAGTATTTTATAATGCCGCTTTTCAATCAAGAAATTTGGGTTGCTGATTCACCTACTTATTAATTATTTTTAGCATCTCGTCGCTGATGTTTATAGTGTATTAACTTGTTTTCCATACTAAACTCACAATTACGAACAAAGACAAAAACGTAATTATCGTATTCGCGGAACAAGCAAGAAAAATGTGTGATTAGGGAGAATAAACACCCACATATAGATGTTAGGGTCTAACTAAAAAACACGCATCGCTACGAAAACAATCGGTGGTTGCAGCAAAATGCAATCGCGCATGTTATGAGCGACTTCTTCATTTTTCCAAAATATCAAAAGGGAGTTCATTAATATGTGTGTCAAATTTACAGGCCTAATATATATAATTTAACCGTGCAATTTAGAATAAAAAGTTTTAGCATTTAAATTAGGTAAGGTATTTTTAACTTACTAAGAATATTAATCAGTAAATATCAACATGTGTTTTTTGTCTGCTTTGTTTTCAAAATTTATTTGTGGGGCTCCGTGAAGAATAGTCAACCTCTTCAAGGGCTCCGTAACATCAAAAGTTTGAGAACCCCTGGTCTAGAGCAAAGATTTTTCAACCTTTATGGAGGAGAGGAACCCCAATAAACATTTCCAAGGATTAAGAACCCCTGTGTAACTGAATATACATTATAATATGCCAATCAAAAAATGTGAAACAGAAATTTGATGTAGAGTAGAGCTAAGATCTGAAGCCCGAACCCGAAATTCGAGCCGGGTCTGGCTGATTGTCGCTGACTTTTTTGTTAAAAGAGACGTTTTGGCCACGAAAGACCGTGGTCGGCAAAAAAAACAGAAGTTGCCCCATCAACACAATACTCTTGCAATGACAATTCAGAGATCTCCTGATTAAAATATAAAATTTCGGGTTTGCTTCGGGCTCGGGCCTGCAAATCCAGTTAATTAGTCGGACATCGGTCGGGTTCCATACCCACGGGCCTGGGCCGGAATTGATCTTACCTCTAATGTAGAGAAAATGAAAGTCTCTCATGAAACACACTCATTATATTATATCCGTGTATTTAATTATATTTAAAACAAGATAAATATAATAATATAGACCAGGGATACTCAACTATTTTTACCGGAGGTCGCATACAAAACTTCAAAAATATTTGGGTCCGGACTTTCCAGACATCATATTTCGGCTTCCTCAAGCACACGATTCCTCGGCCGACTAATGATTATTAGGTAATCAAGATTGTTTGTTTTGGTGTTATAGTTCTTTTCATATATATTTTTAAATCTATAAAAGTGATTTTATAAAAGGAAACTTCAAAAGTGGGCTAATGATCCAAAATGAAGAATTATGCGTTCGGATCAAATACCCGAAAAGTCCGAAATCGGGCCGCGGCCCCCCAGTTGAGTAGCCCTGATATAGACTACAGGATTTCAATGCAAACCTGCAGAACCCCTGGACAGCCTACAGCCTTGTGCAGAGTACTTTGTATGAACCAAATATATTTCCTCAGTACTGAGTTTCGATAGAAACACATAAAATAACTGTCTGGGGAGTAGTCTTAGGGTGATTCCCCCTCATGTATAACTGTCTTATCACTAGTAGTATCGTCAGCGAGCACCATTTCAGATTCAATCTCTGGTTTGTCAGTCTTTCCAGAATCTTTCTGTTCAGTGGTTATAAGTCTTGATCCAAATGAACTCTTAGATATCATTAGCATTTCTCTTAAAATGTCATTTTCTGTTTGCAATCGGGATAATTCTTCGTAATCTCTGATATATTGCTCATCGTCGACATCCGCAGCATGCCTCATCACAGCAGCCATCTCGTGAATCTGGAACATAGAAAGATAAACAATGTCTGTTAGATAAAACTGCAACCTTTTTTGTTTTGAAATAACTTGAATCTTCAGCGCCACCATGTGGTCGAATTTGTGTGCTTGAATATTTCTTGTCAAACCTGCAGCATTAACAATGACAAGATTGCCAAGTAAGAAAGAGTCCCGTCCTTCAAATATTAGTAGCTCATTACATATCGTTAGATATTAGTGCGTAGTGTCTGCTTGTACATCTGCAGGGCAAATATATAATATACTGATCTTCATTATTTAGGATGCTTATTTTTTCTACTATAAGATTAAAATTACCTTATCAATTAGCTCCATATTCTCTTCTTGATATTGTTTTTCTGCTTGATAAGCGTTTTCAGTGATCTGGATGCTGAAAATGGAAGATATAAATAAAATTATAAATGCTGTCTACCAGTGGTCCTCAATCTTTTTTCTTTCATGGCCCATTTTTATTGCCCAAAAATTCTTGTGGCCCATTAACTTTTTTATTGCAAAGGGGAAAACTGGAAGTAAAATCAAGATCTTTCTGTGGAAATGGGCACTTTACCGTTTTTTATTTAAATTGGAATTACCACTTATTAGCAGTAAACAGCATTGTCATTGATTGTAGCTAAAATCAAAACTAACTATTGTAATATAAATAAAACTAGCAATTTTTATCAGTTCTGTGGCCCAACTCAAAATCCACTGGTTTATAACCAGTGGTTCTAGTCACAGTTGATTGATTTTGATATTTTAAGCCAATTGAAAGTTCATTATTATTTTTCAACATTAGGATAGAAAATAGCCGAAATATTCATCCACGAGAAGGGAAAAGACAATAAGACAGCTTGATCATATGGCTAACCATGTCCTCAGGTATGGGATTAGTTTTTGTGGGCATGGACTTGAGTATAAATGAAATAAATGTATTTATCTGCATTAAATGTATTTAATCAGACTTTCCTCTCACTGAGATTATGAAATACATTGACAAGATCCACATACTTTTGGTGCTTAGTGAACTTCATCATCTGCTGTCTGTACTTAGTCATGATAAGTTCCAATGCGTTCTGGTGGTCGGTCAAACTTTGTCGCAATTCATCATTCTCATGTTGTAGGGACCGAATTGCATTATTTTCTTGCTGAATACCTTGAAGATAAAAGTGTGAATTTAGCAAACATAATTTTTTTTTTATCAGAAGTATTATTTGAGATCCACATTTGTTTAAAACAGTGGTTTCCAACCTGGAGACGGGGCGGGTTTTTAAAGGGATCGCGAAGGTCTTGCCAAACAGTAGAAAATAGTACAAAGCTCTAGGTTAAATATTGCCAATAGAACGAGAAGAAGTCTGGAATTGACTCTCGTTTGCCTCCGAAAGAGGCAAGCTGCGTGAGTTGTATATGGCATGTTAACCATTGTGACGCCACACGAACTCGTCTGCATTTCCGCGCCGTGACGCGGTGAACACACGGGCTTCGAAGCAATGCTGTGGAACGGGATTTCAATACCAAGGGGTCTACTGCAGGGTAGGCTTGTAGTTTGTGAAGATTATCATACATCTTGAGATTAGCTTTGTCAAAAACTCAAACCACGAATTACGCAGTTGGCTACGCGGTTTCAATGCCAGCCATCACAGCTGCAGCTTGATGAAAAATTAAATTACACAATATTCACTTTACCGCTTATTTTATTGGAAAGTACAGAAAGTGAGGCAGAGGGTCGCGAGGTATGTGTAAACCACCAAAGGTGGTTGCAAACCAAAAACCACTGGTTTATACATTCTTACAATATTTACATTTTTTTTTATTCCAAACTAATATTAACTTCCACCACTTCCTTATACCCACTAATTTAAGATAATTAATTCTTAATTACCAATTTCGAATAGAAATTTCAGTACAAGATAAAAAAACGATCACGTCATGTCCGGAAATATCATACAGGAAAGCAAAGATAATCCTAAAAAATATCACATTAAAAACATGAGCAAAGCTAGCACTGGTTCTTTTAAAAATTTGTCTTACCTAAGACTAAAGTAGACCTTGGTCTGTGTCCAGCAACTTTGTTCAGTTCAATCAAATTTTCTTGATATGTGTTTCTCGCTTCCATCTCTTTCTTGAGAGTTGAAGCCTGTTCGGCAAGACTTTCAGCAGCGCTGTCATGATCCTGGGATAATAGATGAAAATAAAAGAATAATCTTTCGATAGTGAATGCTAGAAAGCACTGGAAATTTGTGAGCTCCAGAAGCATCTTGGCTCCGCCATCTTGGTTCACATACTACAGGAGTACCAAAATTTGTTTCAATTGTGTGGCCCGCATAAACCCTGGCTGATCGAAATATCACTTAGTTGGTTCATAATCCAGGGTGCAATAACTTTCAAAAGATTTTTAGATGCTCGTGGCTTTCAAACTAATAAAATTATACTTGGGTCTGACCAGGAGAGAAGATTAGAAATCACTAATTTAACTAGTACATTCACAGGGCCTTTTAGTGGTTTAGAAAGATTCGAAAGACTATGACATCACAATTTTCCCAACAGAGAAGGAATTTGATATATTAGTAAACATACATACATACATACACATACAGACATACCAATATTTTTCACTATTAGTCTACTATAATACTGATCGACGTAAGTTAATTTATAGTTCAACATTACAGGTACTCGCACTTCTGCTTTCTTAGGACTAGGATAGACAGATACAGTACGGCACACTATACAAATCGGGTGACATTGTCCCGTTTCAGAGAAACCCATTTTACAGATGATCAGACACCCCTCCTTTGGGAGACATCTGGACATTGTTGTCCCTCAATATCGGTGATAATACAGTAAAATGAAGTTGCGCAAAATACTACAAAAAAGCGCAATCTAATATCGTCATCGTTGAATTTCTTGGGAAAAAATCAACCGATTTACCGAAGGAAAAAAACTTTTACCGTTGCATTCGAGAGTTTTTACAAAAAACAGCAATTTTGGTCACGTGACGGTCGCGATTAATTAAGATTATTATTGAATCAAGCATGGCGCGATATGATGCATCTGACGTGGTCCAGACGCCCCTCGTTTGTGAGACAAGTAGAGTGATTGTTTTATTGAACCAAATGGAGGGAAATTCTTGGAATTTGGATAGTGTGCTGTACAGATAGAATTTACATTTTTATCTCGGGGGGGAGAAGAAAGACAATAGGATGGCTTAATCATATGGCAAACCACAGTCTCTCGTCCGGTTACCAGTCCATGTCCGGTATGGGATTAGTCAGCCAGTTATTGACTTTCCCTTCTCAGGGATAAATATCAAAACCTGAATCAGTAAAAAATTCAGACGTCTGCCTCAAGAGGATTGAATTATATGTACAAGCCTTTATTAACTGTCAAAACATTGAAATACTCTACCTTCAATCTTGTAACAAGATATTTAGCGTCCGCAAGCAACGACTCGATGGTGATATTCATTTTTGCAAACTAGTCGATGTACAAGGAAACTAGACTGATTGCTCTTCAAAAAATAGGTACCCTTTTTTCTTTTTCAATATGCCAGATTTTAAATTTACTTTTTGCAAAAAATCGTTTTCTATGTTGATAACTTAAAACAAGATATATGATATAACTAAAGATATTTTGCTCTAAAATACAGTTATTCAAAAAAATGTATTGAAAATGCATTTTTAGCAATAAAATAAGAAAAATGACGGTCTGAATGTAGGACATCAGGCATAAATTTGGTAACTTGAGGAAACAAAGAATGTATCTCTATCGCCACTAACGGTATTATTCCCACAAATCGTTCATGGTGAACTGACCTTTTAAAAGTTTTCACAAGTGGGTGAATGTTTCAGGTATTTTTGTTTATGATAACAATTATTATAAATTTGCAATAAAACAATATAGACGGCTTCTTCCCCAGTTAACCACATTATCAACCACTTTCTTCTCGAGGCGCCAGCAGCCGATCGAAATATTTTGGAAGATTTGCGCGAATTGAGGTACTTTTGCGCGAATACAGTTTGGGATCAAACGGGGCTTTGAGAAGATATTTGGAATAGCCTGTTTTTTTTTATACACGGGCTTTGTCCTTTTTTATTTTAAACAAGGCTCTTAGGAGGCTGACACTGCGAAACAAAGAGATACTGATTCATAATTACCAGAATGAATCGGGTGCAGAATGGAGAACAGTTACCGGTACAGTTCAGTTACATTTCACAGCATACCGGTACCGTACGGTACCCGGCACTGGTACCGGTACCGGTAGCGTTCGACTGGAGGTTATTATTTTATGTAGGCTACCGGTATCATTCTCAGAAACAGCCGCACAAGAATGCAAGCTCTAAATCATTACCGGTACATTTTTGTAAATAAGAAGTTGAATGCCTGTTACCTTCGGGAGTGCAGACGGTTGTAATTGTACAAGTCTGCTTTAACGATTCTGTCTGTTGTAGCAAGTCTATGCATGCCACTTTCTCACATACCGTACATAGCCTAGTTCATTTTCTCATGATTTACTTTTGTTTTGTGAAAAAATTTCACTGATCAATCAATTTTTTCTGTAATCACGCATAGGAACCGCAGCCACAATTTTTTATGGTTATTTTCTTAATTCTAGTTTGTATAAAGTCTATTGCCATGATCTTCTTTTGATCAGTGTCTCACATTTTAAAATTAATTTAAAAGATATCGCTCGATTTTACATCGTGTCTTGATTTTATTGTCTTCTTTTGACTGTTTTTGGTGGACGGGCACGCACTCGTACGTTTTTTAACTTTTCTATTAAGTTATGCCCAGGTCCTCTGCATTTTGTTTGTCTGTTTGTTGTTGTTTTGTTTCTTTCAGAGTGACCAAAATAAAATTGATTGTATCTCCGGGTATAACATGTAAATCTCATCCTATTTCTAAAGCTTCTGCGTCTAAAAATTAATAAAAACTAATCCGAGCCCATTTTTAAATGTTTGCATATAAATTTGCAAATGGTGTTGTAATTCAGTAATGCCATACCTCTTTGTATATAATTTTGATTTGTTTGTTACCTAATTAGGCACATAGACACATTTTTACTTGGTGAAAATGAATACCGGATTCTTGATTCTTTATTTAGTATCATTGCTTGACAATGTTTTCATCTTCTCAGAATATTTTAGATATAGTATTAAACGGACAAATAATCATGTTGCCTACTATTAAGGGGTCGTTACTAACTTTATTTTTACTCACTATTTGTAACCTTTTATGTGAGATATCGGCAGAAGCAAAATTCAATGACATTCGGTGTCGCTGCACTTGCAAACAACTTATTGCTCTCAATATTCCGAGAAAGGTTTATACAAAAGATGCAGTTCAAGAAAAATGTAACTGTTTAGATGTTGTCGTTCCGGAATTGAATTGGGCAAATATATCTGGCGTAATGTTGGAACAATACTGCCTCTTGTGTCAGTGTAAATATGAAGTACGAAGCACTAAGACTATGGAGGTTGTTGTCCTGATGTATCTGATTTTAATTGGAATATTATTCTCATATTTGGCAATTGTTGGATTAGTTGATTTTATCGGTAAAAAGCGGAATCGAGAACAAGGAGTTGAAACTCAGAATTTAGTCAGTGAAGATCGACCCTCGACTTCATCTGAAACTGCCGAAAATATGCGCTTCCGCAGCCATCGGAGGCAGCATAGTTCTACAAGTTCTATGATGATGAATCGACTAACAAACGCACAAGTAGAGTGGAAGCGACAACTAAAAAGCCAACGGGATAAAGTCTTTGAGAGTAGAAATATTCTGCAATGATGGGAAAAGATTGCACGAATTCCTCGCCGATGAAAGGATGAATTGATTGGATTTTCTTTGCCTCTACAACACAAAAATAATCCAAACTACTTGAGATTGATATTAGAAAGTGGTTCCTCATACTCATTTTTCTATTTTTCACAATATGTGTATGCAAGTCTAGGTAATAAAGGCTTGTGTTAGAATCCAAATCAATGGGCCGACACCTCTTTGTTACCCCCTATTTTTTGCATCGGACTGTTTAGTAATTCTCGACCCGGTGACGAGACTATAGACTCACTTACTATCATATGATTAAGCCCTCTTTTTCTGGACTAACATGAAGATCATATTAAAGCAATTCTATAAAACCTCAGTCTTGAGGTCTAGTTTACTTTTGTTACGTAGGAAGCCAATTCGGGACAACCAACATGCTCTTTTTATACTGCATCGAATTCTTGGCCATATTGAATACTTTATTTAGAAACCTAAAACTTCTCTAGGTTTTTTACTAGGAACTTAGACTTGCAGTTTTTTTGTGATTCCTGTGCACAAGTTATTTGTGATTAATTTTTTTTGTTTTTGTTTTGTGCAATAGTCAACTTATTTTAGCAGCAAGTTTTAGTTTGTTTTTCAGTCAAGATGGTTATCCAAGATTATACCAATAAACAGTATTTCCTGGTTATTAAGTCGCTTCTCTCGACCCAATTTTTTGACCTGATTTTAGGGGGGGCTGTCTTATTGGGCGGCTATTATTTTATTTTTTCTTGCTTCTTGGAATCTTTTTTTACGCACATAAAATTATTAGTGCATATTGTTGCTAACTAACCAACAGAGAAGCAATTTCACTGTCCGTTTTTATTGGAGCTTATATGGAAAACAAACACTTAAAAATCATAATGTGAGTAACAAGTGTCAGTGGCTGTCTGCTACTCTTCTATCTCTAATCTAATTTCTCGTGAGGGCAATATTGTTTTGATTAAACCTGAATTGAAAGCTATTTCACCTTTGGGAATCAATGATGCTTGAATAGTTTCTGGGTCATTACTTCCTGGGGTCAAATCTTGTGTAAAAAAAATAAAACATAATATATTTTATATTTGAACCATGCAGAAAATACTTTATCAGTGTATTCAAAATTTCTCTCTCTGTTGTGATGTGATATTATAGCAATTTATTACTTATTTAGATCAAAGTAATATCGAAATTTTCTAATCTATCTTTTGGTATCGCATTGGAAATATGGATTTGAAAGACGTAAAGTTTGGAGATGAAATGAAGGATGAGTTTCTCTTGGATAAATCATGTGCTTTTGTAAACCATGGATCGTATGGGCCAACTCCTAAGAGAGTGGTGGAACAGAAAGTCAAGTAAGTTCTCATTTTTGAATATTGGGATTTATCAGTTATTAGTGTTCACTTTTTCATAATGCTAAAAATACACTGTGCATACACAATGTAAAAAAGGCATTTCAGGATGATGGTCAACACAAAATTAGTAATACTGGTTATCAAGCAACGGGCCCTAATATGTGATTAAAACCAGGGGCGGACACTTTCCATAATTTTGGGGGGGCGAACTTGGATCGCCTACCGAAAAACACCGCGCCGTGTATCGTCACGTAACAATAACCTGTCGATGTCATTCTCTAAGTATTAGCATGTCAGTTTGCTACTCATATATCGATTACCTAGGCTGCTTTGCTCGGACACGAAACTTGCGCGTCACTGAACCAATTTCTTGAATTCCGCGAGAATTAGCCCACGGCTCTTGCTAACATACAGAAAATAACAAATTTGAGGAGTCGTATTAGGTTATTGTTTCAATTCCTAGTTCTGCATAAAGCGCACTAACGTCGTTTCGTGAAATTAGAAATGCAAAACAAAGTAACAAGCTATTGTGCGAATTTTTTTCCTAAATTTTACCAAGGAATTATCATTTGACTAGTAGAATTGCCATTATTGCCGATTTATTAAATCATCATTTGAACTCGAAATAACATTCAGGATTCACGCAATGACTTTGCAGGGTTTTTATTTATAATTTAATACGAAAATAAACAGGCACAAGTTCAGGCGCGCAGTCAGGATTTAAAAAAAAAGGCGGGGTCGAAGTCGGAACTTCCCACTGCCGTCTGCAACAAGCACCGCGATTACGCGCTCAATAAAAGAGCCGCCTATTTGAACGTATAATGATTTTTCTGTCGATCCATGACAGCCACGAGATTCTAAAATGTCCTTATATATTAAATTGTGTGCAACCTAACTCGCGGTTGCGACTTCTTACGTCAAAATAAAAATATTACTAAACTTAAAGTACCACGGCGATATGTGGACATAAAAATATGAGATAAGCTGCCTGATGTATTTAATTTTGATACGTATTTTTGCAATCTTCCGAACTCGTTATCGTCGTTACAAAAATCTCGATATCTGATATAAAATCCGATATAGTACAATTTTAATTCATACAATGAAAATAATTATAAGGTACACTAGTAAATCAAAAATACAAATACACCGCCTCGAAATCCACGCGGAACAGTCGCCGCGATTACGCCACTTGTTAATAGAGCCGACTTCATCAACGAAAAATGATTTTTCACTTGTGCAAAGTGATCAATCAAAGACCGATACGGGCATATTCAAAATGTCTTGATTTATTAATTTAATTGTCTTCAATTTAAACTGCGGCTGAGTCGACAAAACAAGGGCCACTCTAAAACACGACGGAAAAAACCTTTCGAAAAATCCGTAAATTTTCTGTCAATTCTCACGTAGTAAAAGTTATTTCAGTACAATAAAAATACATAAATAGATACAAAAAGTGATCGAATATACTTTAATTATCTTATATATCATCACAAACCGTGGAAAAGTCGCGTTCTCAGCTTTGTTTAATGTTAACACGAAAATTTTCGACGTCAATTTTAAAGTAATGGATAAAAAGGCAAATCCCGCTCACAATTGACCGTGTTTCGATTTTAGTAACGAAATATTTCTAAAGGTCAAGCAAACATAATTTGTGCCGTTGGCACACGAAATTTTGCGATTTTCGATGCCTAGAAAAGCGTTTTTAGACTGTCGCGGGCCTCAAAACTTATATTGTTTACAGTTTTATTTTTAGTATTTTATATTTCCGCTTTTCAACTTTTCGACAAAGTAAATGCTTTGATCTTTGCCCGCAAATTATGCTGGGCCTTGCACGAAATCCATAACGTAAAAAGATACGTCCCGCGGTGAAAATTGTTTAAAACAACTTTAGATCTAGTTAATTTTTTAGCGATAATAATTAATTGTTGTAATGAAACACAGTTTGCCTCTTTCATTTCTTTCGCAAGTGCCAACAATAACACTATTGAAAGATTTTGACAATGAGAAAATCATATTAAATTGTACAAAAATGAGTTAGTTGTGCAAAACCGTGGCGCGTGATCGGCGGTGCGTTTGAAGACGGAGTATTACCCGTGCGGGCGCGCATGTTTCCAAAAATGTGAGGTGCTCCGAAGGCGCATTATTGTAAGAAAACAGTTATAATATCGGTAACTATTAACCGTTTAATGGCGCTTGACTATCGCACTTTTCGGAAATGATAATTTTGTAGGGCGGAAACAACATGTATTAAATTTTTTTGCGAAATTATTGGGGGGGCGACCGCCCCCCCTCGCCCCCCCGGGTGTCCGCCCCTGATTAAAACTATAATATGATTAAAACTCTCATTTATGCGGAAATACATGATATTGACTGAAATAAGTTTGCATACTCAAAGACAGTAGTTTTATTTATTATTATTTATTGATATCCTTGTAGAATAAAATTTCAAATCTATATGAAAAGCCTTGCCACTCAATTGTAACTCAGTTAAATGTATATTAATAATGTACAGGATTTTCATATTTTTACTGGGGAGAGAGAAAAGCCCATAAACCAACGGGCAAACAGCTACTCACGAGCCGCATGTGACTCGCCAGGGTTGTTATGCGGCACTTCTCGCTAGCAATAATTATATATTATCCAAATTTAACTATGAGAAACTGTAGCGCAACAGTTTTTAAATCATTATGCGGTTGAACGAAGTTTTCTACTATGATTAAGACAAATTCTGTTTTAGTATGAAAATCGTAGCCTGGAATTTAATTTAAATCGGTCAAACGACTAATCTTACATTCTAATATTATTAATTTCAAAAATTATGCGCTTTCACATATTTCTGACTTGCTACATGCGGCTCTTATACTAAAAAATTTTGCCCACCCCTGCCATAAAGCCTAATTGTGCAGAGTATTATTAAGATGCCAGGACAGGTATTAGGAGATAGGTAACAAGTAGTTTATCATTTCAATTGCCTGGTATTTTGAACCACTAACTAGCATAACAGTAATCTGTAGTTTACCACCATGGCATCCGAACCTGATAAGTCATCTTAACCCTGTGAGCTCCTGATGAATCATCTTAACCCTGTAAGCTCCTATCCACCAAGCCAACGGTGGGCAAATCACGCCTGCAGGCCAGATCTGGCCCATCGAAGTGTTTCATCCAGGTCCACTGTGGGCTGCTGAAATTACAACTATAGTTTTATGGATATAAATTCTGTTAAAAATCTAGATGAGAATAACATCATAATGACGCTGATTGTTACATTCTGCTTATTATTATTATTATACAAACAGTAGACTAGCTGACAGACAAGTAATTGTAAATAAACTGTTTTTATTCATAGTTTTTCATATTAAGCCTCTGGCCCGGTAACCAAGTCTGTTATCTGTAGCTGGCTCACTCAGAAAAGTAATTGCCCACCCCTGCACCAAGCAAATAATTTAAGTAAACCATTGTATAAGTACAATTCTCTCTGACAGGGTGACTCAAAAAAGAGAACTTATAAATTTTGAAGGATATTTATTTAACATCTGATTTCTGTTTGTGTATGATTGTATCCAAAAGTTTTAGTAATCTAGGACTGTTTGAAATTTATGTTCTCTCTAGAACAGTTGTTCTCTTTTTAATTTTTTAATCCTCGCCCCCTTTTAATGACTTGTCAAGTCTTGTGCCCCACCTCGAAAATAACTAGCTGACAATAAGCTACATATAACAGATAGTAAGGCGAAAGTATGTTTTATTCGAAAAACATGTTGAAAATACGTGGATGGAATCACAATCTCTAACCAAAGAGTAAAAGAATGTAAATATCTAAATAAAAGGGGGCAATATCAAATCTAACAAATATTTTAATTTTTAATTAGCACTCCCTCAAAATATTATCCATGGCCCCCTTGTGGGGCGCGCCTCATCATTTGAGAACCCCTGCTCTAGAATATTTCCCAGATGACTTGGGTTCTGTTTTTTTTGGACCATCCTATGACACTATCAACTTATTTCAGGTTCATATATGAGCAAGAAGCGCAGCCCGACCTCTGGTTCCGATTCAACCTGGAAAAATACTACGATGCTTCTCTCACAGCTGCTGCGGAATTTCTTGGAGTTAAAAAATCGAACTTGGTGCTTGTTGACAATGTGACTACAGGTTTGAAGTTTGCAAATGTCAAATATTAGGCCGATTTTATCGCAACTTAAACGGCTTACTCCACCATCAAGTCCATGCTTCCGAAAACAAAAATAACTAACTAATCCCATACCCGACATGGACAGATAACCGGACGAGAGGCCATGGTTCGCCATATGGTTAAGCCGTCTCACCAACTTTCCTCTCCCCAGGGATAAATATGTAAATCCTATCTTATCTTAACCAAATTTTGATGTTTCAGCTAAGAATAACTCAACGACATTGTTGAGATTAGAATTAAATTTAGTAGGTTCAGAGCAAAATTTGCACCAACTGTCTTACCTTTAGCTGAGTGTTAGACAACTATTTTAATTTAATATTATTTCTCAGGCATCAACACTGTGGTGAAATGCTTGAAATTTGAGCCTGGAGATCAGATATTGATCCATACTCACACTTACAATGCAGTTAAGAATATCGCTGACGAACAAGAGGACTTTATCAAAGGTAAGAAGAAGTAGCCTACTGTTATTGCGCACTATGTGTGACAAGAATGTCGAAATCGAACTGTAAAATAATAGGGTGTCCACAAATTATAAAGGGAATTTACTGATGCTATTTTGTTTTGGCCCTCAAAGATGTATTAAATGAAGTAAAAATACTTGAACAATTGCTGAATAAAAAACAACAAACCTGGTTAAGATATATTGAGAACTTCATAACTTTTGTTACTTGATAACAAAATTGAGACTTGTAAAAGGGACTTTATGGACACCCTGTATATTTGAATACCACAGTCAAAGAATCTGATTATAAGTGTTTATTAGAATATCGGCATTTGGTATACGGTCTTAGCGGTTATGTGATCTCTGTGATAGGAACTGAAATCCATGAGGATGTTTTTATGCAATTTTGGGAACTCCAGAAAAATGTGCATCAAGATGGTGCACAACCTGAACATAGTATGTGTACCAGGTTAGGGTTCAGGTTGTGCGCCATCTTGGTGCACATACTTCGGGGGCGCCCAATTTCGATCATGTTAAGCAAGTGGGATTACGAACCAAAGTGGTTTTATAACGTTGAAACCACATACCAAAGTGGCACGAATATTGTATATCTTGCACACAATTTTGTTGCCTATGTCGGGACTTTTCATCGACTTTTCAATTTAATGTTATAGCTCGTATGCTTATCTCGAATTCTTAAATTTCTTTCCAAACAGGTGTTAAAGTTGTCACTGCTGAAATCCCACTTCCCATAAAATCTGAGGATGACTTGGTAGATGTTTTCCGCAAAGCATTGGATGAAAATCCCAAGATCAAACTTGCAGTTCTGGGTGAGTTTACAGCATGTTCATTGTCGATATTATCACAAAAAAGGCTTATTTCATTTTCCCAACCACTACTCATTCAAGTCTTATTTGACTTGCACTTTTGAGTGCTTAATGTGTACTTTCCAACAAGCCATCAGTGGGCATCGGAGGTGCGTTGGTTTGTTGTTATGACTACATTTATTTGAATGGATTGAGTACATAAAATCCGCTTAGCAAATATGATAGATTTTTCAAAAATTACCTGCATGTAAAGTGTTAATTTGAAACATTGAAATATCAGAACTAATCAGCCCGAAGTCACTGTATGTTCGTATATACCAGTAGTTCTTAAACGGTAGAGCGTAGACAATTTTTTGAGGGGTCGTGAAGCAAAATAAAAATATTTGTCAGATTTGATCTTGCCGGGCTTATTTTGAATACTTACATTTCTTTTTTCTTTATTGTTTAGAAATTTCTGAGAGCTGTTGTGCCTTTTGTTATTCTTATTATCTGCTACATTACTCTCGCCTTACTATCTGTTATTGGTAGCTTATTCTTAGCTAGTTATTTTTGAGGTGAGACGTGAGACTTGACAAATTCCAAAAAAGGCCCTGGTATATTGTATATACCATTTATCTATTTTAATATTTCAGACCACATAACAAGTCCGTCAGCTATAATATTTCCTGTTGAAAAACTGACCAAGTTATGTCGTGAACGAGGCGTCCTAACATTGATAGATGGTGCTCATGCACCTGGTCAAATAAAACTCAATGTTGCCAAAATTGGAGCTGACTTTTATTCAGGTAATTATTCATTTGCTTGAAATAATATTTCAATATTTTGTCATTCGTTAGGATTCTGACATCGAAAGATTTAGATCAAATGAAATTTTGAATTGAAAAGATGTTTGTAGGAACTCCGATAATCGAAACATTATTTCAAGTTATATGTGCTATAATGGTCTGCTTTTGTCATGAAATTTCGTTTTCCCAGTAGTTATGAGATCGAAAAACAACCGTATATCCTTGTATAAAAACGTTCCTGAAAGGATGAATTTATGAAAATTTGCATATCAGCCGACCCTACAAATTGTAACATGCTGTACAGTTGCCGGTTGCAGAAGAGAATTAATAAAAATGATAACCATTATTGTAATGTTTTACTTTTATTAATAATGGTAAGAAGCGTCTCTAAATCATTCATCCTTCAAATTCATCTTACTTTGAAACTCTTCAATGCAGTTAGAGTTATGCGCATATAAGCCGACCCCTTAGTTTTGCAACTTTAGTTTTGAGTTTTGAACTCTGCTTATATGTGAGGATAAAGGCTAATTAATTGATTGCTCAAAAATATTTTTATCTTTTCTAGCAAACTTTCATAAATGGTGTTACGTGCCCCGTTCATGTGGATTTATTTGGTTTTCTGATGACTTCCACGGCCAGCTACGCCCTCTAGTGACGTCACATGGATACAAACACTCATTGGACGACCAGTTTAACAATCTTGGAACCCGGGACATTTCAAGTTACTTCTGCATTCCCCACGCTCTTAAGTTTTATAAAGAGATTGGTGGCTTGGTGAGAACTTTTATCTTAAATTAAAATTGCATATCCAGCTCAGAAGTGCGCTAGTTTTTATATAATACTTATTTACTTCTTTGCTTCGAAGGCCCTGCAAAAGCTACTATTCTTTCTAATATTGTTTCTTTTTTATAAAACATTTAAATACAGACGCTAGTAGGTGTTTGGTGAGGTTATATTTTGGGAGGGCCAAAGTATTTCTGGTTCGGCATTGACTACTCAATTTATTAATCCCTGGGTGGGTCTGGTATAGTTTAGTACCACATCTAGTTGGCCTGGCTCAACAATTTTTGCATATGTCAATCCTAACCCCCACCTGACTACGTCACTGAAAAATTACGTCATTTGGACGTCACAGGTGCGTAATAAGACCCACCAAAGTATGAGGATGGTCGTCCAAAACGCGCAGACGATCACCCGAAATCGAGCAAGCCAGTTTTCTCGTTTTTGTCACAACGATCACGATAGGAGAGAGATCGTCATAGGAGAGAAAAGTATTACAATGCTTCTAAATATTAGCAAATAGTACGAAGTAAAATTCTCACCTCTAAAACAATATAATTCTTTAATTCTCTTTGTCTGCTTGAGAAACATTGCACTGCAGTTTATTTTTTCCAAGCCACTGAAAATCAATTATACACGAATGGCAAAAAAAAAATAGTGAGCACACAGTTCAACAGGGAAAGGAAACTCAGGAAAAACTAGGCTACCACAATCTTTAATGCTTCTTAAATTTTATCCTTGTTTTCCAGGAAGCCATTCAAGCTCATGGCAGAGAACTCACCAAATTTGCTGCTAAAATTCTCTGTGAAGCCCTTGGCACAGAAGAGTTAGACATTCCGGATTCCATGAGGGCTCCTTGCATGACAACTATCAGATTGCCTTTGAAAAAACCTGCAAAGTATGTATTGTACATTGTTTTTTTGTACCAATGTGGTTGCGTTGAATATAGATAGTTCTCAAACGGTGGGATGTCGACAGTTTTCTGAGGGGACGTGGGGCTGAATAAAAATAAAATTATTTGGTAGATTTGATCTTGGCCACCCAGTATATTTTACTAGAATTGTTCGACTACAGAATTGTTTAGTATCGAGTCGACTACCGAGGTATCACTGTACGAATATCCACTGCTGTGTAAGAAGGTACTTTATTTTAAATAAATTGCACTTATTGCAATTATTACACTCGGGTGAGATGGTGGTCATGGGCGATACCAAAATAACCAAGTCTACTGCTTCAAATACCAAGCCAGTGCACTTGGATTTAAAAACTTTTACATAATTCAGCATTCCAACAGATGCAATAAGCGCTCGCAAAGCAGTTGCACAGTTGCTTGTTAAACTGTACAAAGAAAACGGAATTGTGATCATGCTGGCAAGTTTTAACGGATTTCAGTCAATTCGTGTTTCTGCAAATATTTACAACACAGAGACTGACTATGTTAGAGTCAAAGATACGTTACTTGAAGTTTTATCGAAAATGAGAACTCAGGATTAAATTTGGGTTGGTTTGTTGGGGAATGGATAATTTCGCAACTGAATTATTGTCGGATAATTATTGTCTGATGTGGCATGTGTTAGGAATTGTGAATCACAACAATGCAATTCAAATAGTGCTTTTTCACTATTAGATAAAGGCTCATAGCTGAACATACTATAATATTCACAGTAAAATAGCCCATTTGTGATTCCACAGCCATCATTGGAGCATACATTAATCATGTTTCAGACTTGAAGAAATTTGGGATTTGACGAAAGATTTTTATACAAAATATGGGATGCAGGCATGTTTCAATTATTGCAATGAAACAACATTTCTACGTTTGTCCTTTAATGTGTACAATTCCAAAGCAGACTATGTCGCTATCAAAGAAAGCGTTGTTAAATTTGTTAACGAAGACCTGAAACATTTAAAGCTGTTGAAAAAAGTAAATTCAGTATTTTTCAATTCTATGATGGTGCATGGTGACTTGTTTCTCAACTGAAATTAAAAAACTTATGTGGTGTATTCAAACATGCTACTAATTCAGATTCCCATGCCCGGAAAATATTCATTGACCATTCAATGATTCAAAGTGCTTTTTTTTCATGTGTGTTTGGAAAATTCACAGCAGGAAATTTCGTCGTAGGAAATCTCGGCGCAAGAAATTTTGCCACATAGGAAAATTTGTTGCATGAAAAATTGCCGCAAAAGCATTTTGCTGTAAAACAAGTATTTGTGATAAAAACAGTTATGTTTATAGGGTTAGAGTATGCTCCTGACTAACGAATCTCTTTTAAATAAAAAGGTACTTCAAAGAACTTAATTGTTTTTGTCACGAATACACGTTTTACAGCAAAATGCTCTTGCGGCGGATTTTCCTATGCGGCGAGATTTCCTTTGCCGAAATTTTCCAGTATCCTTCCCATGCATTCAATTTCTCACTCTGAATAAAAACCATTCTATATGCAGTTACCAAAGCCACCAAGGAAAATTTTCTATTTGGGTATGCTTGGTCAAAGCTATACGTCATGTTAATTCAATTTTTCGTTGTATACAAATTCCTTCATACACTAAGAAAAGCTGTTGATTTTATTTTTGAATATATCCGATATTTCATATTCGAAATAGTGAATTATTAGGTATTGGCCATCCCTGGTTCAAATTATTCGCTTTGTTAAATTGCCATCTTGTGAGAATGGTATGGTCTGAAATTTTGGATTTGTTATGACATCGGTCATGAAATAGACAGTATACAAAGATAGGTGGGTAAATTTTAATTTTAAAATTTGTAAAATGTGAACTAGAAGAGACTAGTTGAGAACTTCTATTCTAGAAGAATTTCACCTT